AGTATAAAATTATGCTTCTTCATCACGCCTGAGTTCATTAACTCACTTCCAACTAAAGGTTGTTGTTGTTGTTATGTGCTGTGTAGTCAGTTCCGACTCATAGTGACCCTGCACAGGGTTTCTGAGGCTGTAAATCTCTATGGGAACAGAAAGCCTCATCTTTCTCCCATGGAACAGCTGGTAGTTTTGAACTGCTGACCCTGAGGTTAGCAGCCCGATTCGTAACCATTACACTACCAGAGTTCCTTGCCAACTAAAGGTGGGTTTTATAAATGAAGGTATGTATTGTTTCACTTGGGGAGTGTGGTGGTTCTGTAGGATAAATAATGGGCTCTGAACTACAGGATTGATGGTTTGAGCCCACCAGTTGATCTTTTGGGGAGAGATGAGACTTTCTTCTCCAGGAGAGTTCTATAGCCTCAGAAAATCTACACAGTGTCATTGTGAGTTGAAACCACTTTAACAACAGTAACGACATTACTTACATGAAAGTTCATTATGGTTCCATGAAATTGGTTTGGTTCAGTGTTTTAACAATGTTACCAAAAACCTAGGATCATGTCCTATCATAACAGTGTCCAAATATGGAAATGAGGTGTATATAGAGAGTGTTATATTTCTAATCTCTCTCTTTTTTTAATCCTGGAGAAAAATATTTTCCAGAATCCCACAGAAGACTCTCATTCAGGTTTCCTTATTTAGATCTGGACTCATGTTCATCTCTAAACCAGTCAGATGAAAAGGTCAAAGGCTTAGACAAGGACAACCATGGTCCACTCCCTGGGCTGAGGAGAGGAGCCCATAGTTTCATTGAACACACAGCCTCCACATGCTTGAAACAAATGACATTTTCTCAGGAGGAACTAGAGAGGGCTGGTTGATGTGCATGGAGACAACAGTGAGTAACCACACAGGCACAGGACCAATCGTATGAGTCAGTTCCACATGGTATCAGTCATACATCTAGGGTGTCTGAGGATTGGCTGCTGGGTTTGACTCATCAACTTTGTGGTTAGTAGTCCAGTGTTTATCCTGTAGTGCCACACCAGAACTCGTATTATACCTGCTACTCCTACTACACTTTGGTGATGTTGTTACATGTCATCAAATGGGTTCCAAATTATAGCGATCTTTTATAGGGTCTTCAAGGAGTGGTTGGTGGGTTTGAAACACCAATCTTGTGGTTAACAATCCAATGTTTATCCTACATCGCCACATCTGGTCTCCTATTGCACCTTCATTGTTGTTATTCAGTGCCATAGAGTAAGTTCCGACTCATAGTCACAGTATTTAAGGTTTCCAAGGAGCGGCTGGTGGGTTTAATCATCTCCCTTTCCATTAGCAGTCTAGTGCATACCCTACAGTGCCACACCAGGACTCATTACACTTGAGGAGGTGAGAAATTCGCAATTTCCTTCTCCATTAGTTTCCTTCCTTCAGTTGGTCATACTGAACAGAACTTTATTCCTCACCATTGCCGTGTTCTTCCATGTTCCTTCTGAGCACATCAGACCACAGGATTGTTAGAAAACCTCTCTTTTTGGATTCCTTAACCAAGTCACTGACCTGGCTGGATGAAATACTCCTGCCCTGGATTCTCCTCCCATCATCTATGCCTACGTATCTTTTGTGTAGTCTTTACCTTTCCAAGTTAGAATCATCTGCCAGTTGTTCACCTTAGGTATGCCTGGAACTTGACAAGGTAGATTGAGTGTTGATCAGTTTGTATCCTCACTTCCTAGTCTGGTAATTGGAACATAGCCGATTTCCAATGAATGTTTGTGGGATGAACAGTTGAATGAATAACCGAAGGAAAGGAAAATAAATCTAGATCATTTATTCCTTTCCAATCAATTTCTACCTTATTTACAATTACTTTCCCCTTTCTTTCATGTCTCCCTTCCCTCTCTTATTTTTCATTTCCTTTTTAATCCATGTTCATTATTCATAATTGGCTAGTGAATCCAGCATTTCAGAAGTTAAAACAGTATTTTCATAGCATTACTTTTTGTCTTTTAATTCCTTCTTTCTCTTCTCAAAACGAGGGGATATGCTGGACTTACACCCAGCAAAGCAAGGGAAATCAACCCAGGATGTTAATTTTCTCTGTGAGCCATACTTTATTTAGTCCACAAATTCAAAGGGTTGGGATCTATCAAACTCCCCGTAATGACAGATCTGTTTCTGTGTTGTCCCCTGGCTCCAGCTGCCATTTTGTGGACTAATACCTTCCTTGTAAATTGGAAAAGCCTTTCCATCAGAACATTCTGGTAGATTTCTGTTTCTGTCTTTTGCCTTCAGTTTATAAATAATCCAAGCCTGAGATGATCTTTCATCTTTAAGCCTTAAAACAAAAATGTCCCCTAAAGTAAAGGAGGACAAGAATAGTTCCACAACTTGAAGAATCTAATCGTTGTCACTAAATGGGACTGTTGAATTATTGTATGTTCTGCTGTTTATATTCTTTACAACAACCACAACAATGAACCAAAACATTCCAAGCCTACCCAAACAATTGTGCTTCCTTGGTCCACAAAGACTCTTAAATCTTACTTTGTCCATATCAGTTATTAGTGCTTACACTTTTGCCCATTTTACTGATATGTCAGTATGAGGTGAGTAATCAAAGAGGGGTCCCGAATACAGAACCAGAGCCTCTGGGACCCTTACGTCTTACAGAGACTTCTCATTGCCATTACTTAAGGTGAACCACAATGTTGTTACCTGTGCCTCTCTGACCACATTGCCTCCTTCCTCTTGTCTTCCTTTTAAACTTAGTGTCTTGTGTTCTTATTGCAGAGCTCCTCAGACAGAGAGTCCATTCTGAGCATCCTCCAGGTCCTCGGTGATCTGCTTTCTGTTGGTGAGTAGGACCATGCCCTCATCCCTTCCTGTGATGAATGTGGGAACATGCTGGCTGAGGGCTCTCACAGGGACCTGGGAAACCTGGGAATTTGAGCCAGCTCAAGTTTCTTGTGAAAGAAAGAATCATCAGGCCAGTTTGTTTTTACCCTGAGGTTAATAAGACCTGGACTAGTGGAATGAGACTTTCTGCTCCTGTAAAGATTGAAAACCTTGGAAACCCTATACAGGGTTTCTATGAGTTGGAACTGACTCCGTGGCACACCACCACCACCAAACTGGACTCATTGCACTTTGGACTCCTTGTTCCTGTAACCCACCCTACAGTGACTTAGCCTATTTTATGGTTTCTCGTCAATGGGGCCAAAGACATCCAGGACTAAATGAGCACTAACCCATCATAGTTCTACCCTGTCTTCTTTCTCTGGTCCATTTTGGGGACCAAGTAACAGCAATTCCCTTACATATGTCAAAGAGAGACAGGAGTACAAGGTAGAGATAGACCTGAAAGTGTTTTATCATTGAGGCTTCAGAGGTCAGATGACAAAATGAACTGCAATGAAATCAACTGAATTAACTGGGGTGTGCCTCTGTGAACCCAAGTTCTTGTTGAGGGTCCTGAAAAATATAGTTTCTTGGACATTCCAACATTGACTCGATTTTCATTTCTACATGTGCTAGCCACAGGATATCAGAGAGGAAAAAACAAAACAAAATAACCCATGGTGTTCTAAATTAACAACATTCCGAAGCTACAGTCTCAAGAATACAGTTTCAAAAGAAATTCATCATTGTCAAATCGATTCTGACTCATCGTGACCCATAGGACACAGTAGAGCTCGCCATAGCGTCCCAAGTTGTAAATATGGAAGCAGACTACACAGTTTGAACCACTAATCTTTCTCCTGTCAGTTTGAACCACTAATCTTTGAGTTAGCAGCAGAGTGCTTTAACCGATGCACCACCAGGGCAGTGTCTATTTATATGTATACACCCCCGAGACTGTGTGTGCTGATTAATGAGACCCCTTCTCTAAATGAAGCGACTTGTCTTCTGAGCAATTCTTGCCTCCAGTTTGTCCAAACCAACAGCTGTTGAATTGGCCCCACTCATAACTAACTACTCCATGTGTGTCAGAGTAAAATTGTGCTCCACAGAGTTTTTAGTGGTTGATATTTTTGGAAGGAGATGTCAAGGTTTTTCCTTCAAGTAGCCTCTGGATGAATTCGAGTCTCAAACCTAGCATTTAACAATTTGCAGCACCTAGGGACTCCTCAATATGTCCAGGGGTGTCTGAAACACTTAGAACGAAACCTTCAGTTCCATGTTCTGATGCAGGCAATGATTGTTGCTTCTTTGATAGAGAATTTGACTTTTCATGAAGATCAGAGGGTCTTCTCTATTCATAATGTCCCATCCTGTCAGGCATTTATGCCCCACACATAGACAATCACCCAGGGTCCCTCCTTTCAGATTGACATTTTATTACTTCTTTTGAGTTTATCCCTAGTCAAAATGGACTCCCAATTTGAAACTAGGCCTTATCCTAACCCCAGATGTTCTTCTAAACGCCCCCAAATAGAGTGATCATGCATCTGTCGTACAAAGGGTTATCACGGTTGTTTCCATATTTTATTATTTATCGTAAATTACTAAAAACCCACTCCAAAATCTTATTGTACCATCAGTGAAATGAATTCAAAGAACTCATCAACCCAATACTTACTATCCAGACAAATGGCAGAGGGATATGATGTTCCCTCTTCTAGTAAATATATGATAATTTTACACTCCTGCACACACATACACATAGGGGGTTCTAACGAGTTATGTGTGTGTGTGTGCAGGAGTGTAAAATTCTAGGCTCCATTAACTACAACTGATGCAAGGAATTTTACCTAGGCTCTGAACGATATCATTATTTTACCATCACGCACACATTTTCCCTGCTTATGTGGTGGTCCAGCTTTAACAAAGGTGGCTTCAAGAACCACACAATTTTGATTTTTGTGATGAAGTGAGCCAATCCTTGCACAGTCTCAAGTTGTAAGTTCTGCCTTCTACTCTAGGACAAAAGAGGGTAACTCTATTTGTGGCTCATCTTGTTTTTCTTAGGCACAGATCGAAGGATTCACTATATGATCAGCAAGGGTGGCAGTGAAGCTCTTCTGCAAACCCTGGTGGACACAGCTAGGACACCATCTCCAGACTATGGTATTCTCCTTCCGCTCTTACGGCTGTTGGCCAAGGTTGGCCTAAGAGGTACCCACATTCTTATATCCCAGAAAATGAATGACAAGGTTCGCTTGGGGTTGATATAATGAGACTTATTCAGAGAGCTTATATGAAGAAGTAAAGAGAAGAAGTAATAAGTTCTAGTTACTTTGGTGTCTACAGGACTAGCCCTGTAGGAGAGGTAATTGTGTTGACCTGTATGTCAGCTAATCCAAAATTTGGTGCCTAAGACAGGGCCCAGAGCAGACCTAAGTTGCATAGGAAATGGGGTGAAGAGAGATAACTCTAAAGTAGTTTTCAGTCATTTAAAAAAGAAATAGAGTGCTTCTATAAATCTAATTTATACCTGGTGGCATAGTGGGTTATACATTCGGTTGCTAACTACAAGATCATCAGTTTGAATCTAGCAGTCACTCATCAGAAGGATTTTTGCTCCTGTAAAGATTTAGTATATATGCTTTGACAGCACATATACTCAAGTTGGAAATATACAGAGAAGTTAGCGTGGTCCCCATGCAAGGATGACACAAATTCATGAAGTGTTTTATGGAGTCCTGGTATGCTGCTATAGGGTAAGCACTTGACCTCAAGGTCGGTGGTTCAAAATCATTAGCAGCTCCTTGGAAACTCTATGGGGGTGGTATGCCATGGAGTCGGTTCCGCCACGTAACTATCCTACATAGGTTTCAGAGGCTTTAAATCTTTCCAGGAGCAGAAAGCCTCATCTTTCTCCCATAGAACCCCTGGTAGTTTCAAACTGCCAACCTTGAGGTTAGCAGCCCGATGCAAAACCACTACGTGACCAGAGCTTCTATACAGGAGCTCCTATATGGAAACTAAAAACAGTAGCTAATGAATTGAAACCAACTGGACGACACTTAAAAACAACAACAAAGATTAACAGGCTCAGAAACCCTATACACTGTCCCCGTGAACTGGAACTGGCTTGCCAACACACCACCACCACCATAAATCTAATTTATAATGGTGCTGCTGGTGGTGGTGGTGGTGGTGTGGTGGTATGGTGGTGGTGGTAGTGAGGTGGTAGTGGTGGGGGCATGGTGGTG